CGGCGGGGCGGGGCGGGTAGTGCCTGTGCTTTATCCACACTGTTCTCGCCGCTTCCCCTCGAGACACTGTCGGGTTTGCGGGCTGCGCTGTCACGCTGCGGGTGTCTCAGCCACCGTTCTCTGGACTGGTAGGTTGTGAGTCCTTTGGAGAAGGGATAGGATCATTTTCTTCCCATTCCAGCCTCTGTCCGTACACTGTGTGTTCTGTCTTGAGCTGTTGTATGCGGGATGCATTGGGAAGGAGGATTGTTGGCAGACCTCCGAGTCAGAGGAAGATCACTGCAGATCATACAGACTTCCATAGAATCATACAGTTTCAGGGGTTGGAATGGACCTTACAGATAATTTTGTCCCAGCCCTCCCTGAAATGGGCAGGGACACCTCCCCACTCGACCAGGTTGCTCAAGTCCTCATCCAGCCTGGCTTTGAACACTGCCAGGGTTGGGGCATCCCCTGCCTCCCTGGGCAGCCTGTTCCTGTGTCTCACCACCCTCACAGTAAAAAACGTTTTCCTAATATCTAACCTAAATTTCTCCTCTTTCAATTTGTACCCATTGCCCTTTGTCCTGTCACTCCAGGTTCCCTGTAGACCCCTGGAGATAATCAGAAGGCTGCTACAAGGTCTCCATGCAGTCTTGTCTTCTTCCATTGCCCTTTGTCCTGTCACTCCAGGTTCCCTGTAGACCCCTGGAGATAATCAGAAGGCTGCTACAAGGTCTCCATGCAGTCTTGTCTTCTTCAGGCTTACCCGACTTCCCTTCCTCAGCCTGTCTTCATAGGGGAGATGCTCCAATCCTCTTATCAACTTCGTGGCCTCCTCTGGACTTGCTCTAACAGTTCTGTGTCCTTCTTACCTTGAGGGCACCAGAACTGCATGCAGTACTCCAGGTGGGGTCTCATGAGAGCAGAGTAGAGGGAGAGAATCACCTCCTTCAACCTGCTGCCCACACTCCTTCTGATGCAGCCCAGGATTCAATTTGCTTTCTGTACTGCGAGCACACACTGCAGCTCACGTTGAGTATCTCGTCAACCATTATGCCCAAGTCTTTCTCCTCAGTGCTGCTTCATATTTCATATCACAGTTCTTAAGGTTATAGTATAAATATAAACAGTCATCCTGGATATATTTGAGGCATATACCACATTATACTTAAATATCTCTTAGCTTCCTCTCCTTTGTCTGCTTTTCTGTTCAGTTTAGATTACAGGTGCATAGTAGCAGAATCTTAGGTGGTTGCTGCAGCACTAAGTACAAATCCAGTACCAAGTTCTAGGGGATACAGTTGTTTTGGTGCCAGGCCTTATTTTCTTGTGTGCATACAAATTCTGTGTTTAGAAACAAAACTCTAATATCCCAACTTTGCCAAAAGATGATTTGGCAGCCTTAGCTATACCGTTTAGAGTGTTTTGTTACAGACTTACCTTTACTCAAGGAGTTTACATTGGATCAGTGTCGTGGTTTAACGCCAGTGGGCAGCTCAGCCCCGCACATCCACTTGCTCACTTCTCCCTGGTAGGATGGGAGAAGGAATTGTGAGGGTAAAAGTGTGAAAATTTCGTGGGTTGAGATAAAGACATTTTATTAGGTAAAAGTCGTGCATGCAAGCAAAGCTTCCCATGGGCAGGCAGCAGTTCACTCATTCCCAGGAAAGCCAAGGTCCATTATGCTTAATGGTTTCTTAGGATGACAAATGCCATAACCCTGAACATTCCTCCTTACTCCTCTTTTCCCCCAGCTAAGCATGATGCCATACGGTATGGGACCTCTCTGGTCAGTTGAGTTCAGCTGTTCCGGTTGTCCCTTCCCAATCTCCTGCCCACCCCCATTCTCCTCACTGGTGGGGCAGCAGGAGGAGCAGGGGCAGTGTGGATGTTGTGTAAGCACTGCTCACAACAGCTAATGCATCCCTGGGATATCAACTCTGCATTGGTCATTAGTCCAAAATACAGCACTGTATGAGCTGCTGTGAGACAAACTAGCTGTATCCCAGTGAAAACCAATACAACCATGTGTTAGCAGGTGGAGGCTGGTTCTCTTTAGCAACACTCCCCAACAGTCACTAGACTGGGCACTCATACTTTTACAGTCGTGTTCAGACTTTATCAAATCAACAGGGCAGACATGTCCTGGGTTTTTGAGGTGGAATTTGGGATGTATATTCCCAAAGAAAAGGACTATCAATTTATCCCAGAGTAAGTTCGCACATGTATCCCCCCAGGGGATTTTACAATTGGAAGAATCTGAGTTATGCTACAAAGATGGACACATATAAGCAAGTCCTGGCTGCAGTTCTTTGTTTCTGATGTGCTGGGAAGTGTTTGAAAAACTAATCTACACAGCTTCCTTCTAGCGTGGGAAGAGTTAAACTGCTCAAGTGCTTTGGATTACATTGGTCGCCATCTGATTAACCTAAATCAGAATGGGAAATGTTATCTTGTGTCTGTAAGGAGAGGGAAGAATTGCTTACTTCATCTGTGTACCAGCTCTGCATGATTGGGGTCTGTATGTCTTAGTTACTGTGCTTTTAAATGATGTTGAGATCAATACATGCTTTAGAAGATAAGGGAGGTAATTGCAGGAAGAGTAGTATTATGCATGTGGACAAACAAGTAAACTCTCTCTTTAGTATTGACCTCACAGCAGATGCAACGACCAGTAATGCTGGTGACAACAGTGCAGACTCGAGGCAAGAAGAAGATGACAGCAACTTTTCAGTGATAACCTGGAACATTGATGGGCTGGATCTAGGAAATCTGAAGGAACGAGCTAGAGGAGTCTGTACTTACCTGTCGCTGTAAGTATAGCTTCATCTTTCTGTTGTCATGTATGCTGTTTTTGAAGGAAAAAAAATTTGATTTAGTTATCTACACATTTACACCCAGATTATCTTAATGTCAGATGCAATGGTACAATCACTTTATAAATCCTAAATAGCTCAATAAAAGGTGATATACTGATTGGAAGAGGTGTGAACCTGTGCAGCATCCCAAGGGTTAAATATTCTGCAATGGCTGCTTTAAAAATCTATTTTATAATAAATTATATTGTTCAAATTGCAGTCATACTTCAAGAACATACTTCATACTTGCATCCTGTACATGAGAGAAGGGTAAAACTGCCAGAAACTTGTTTGTCTCATTCCAGTAGTATGAATAACTTCATGCTAGAGCAAACTGTTTGAAACAAGAAAAAGGATTTTTTTATTGAGAAGTGTCTGTCTTGCCAGTACTCCTAGTTGTCTGTCAAAAAGATAAGAGAAAAGCAATAGAATCTGTGATTACCTTTTACAGTTCCAGCAGTGGAAGCCTCCCTTGAATATATTTATGAGCAATTTAGCAATTACATAAATTGATTTATCTTAATACAGTAACTTATCAATGTAAATTAAATTATTTAAACAAGTGATAATTTAAGTTCCTCTTAAAACAGCAGAAACCCCTTAACTGAATCAATTTTCACTTGATTTTATTAACCTGGGGTGACAATACTTTTCTTCTGTAAATAAGGCCATAGGTTCGTCTTTCACCTGCCTAAGAGCAGGACTACTCAGCAGTGTAGCAAAACTGGGGACAGCTGTAAAGTCTTGTCTAGATCAGCATTTTCAGGATTGCTGCCCCATGTGAACTATTTAGTGGTTGCAGAGCTCTAAGAAATAAAAGAGTTTGTCCTGGATGAGACTAGAGAAAATGAACAGTGTGGAGATCTGAGAGGATCTTTTGTAAGGGAATGAGGTGGTAGTTGGAATCTTCTGTTGAGCATGTCACAAAGCTGCTTTGTTTTGCTCTGCAAATGTTTACATGGTCATGTTACAAGGAAGTCATGCATTTTATTACTGTGTCAGTTCATAATACTAATTGTTTCCTCCCTTTTAATAGTGGTGACATGTCTACATGCTGCTAAATATGATGGAAATAGATTTTTCTTTTCTATGAAGAACAAAGTCTTACAGTATCTAGGAAAATGAGGGCAAGGTTCCTGGCCCTGTTCCATTTGGCCTCAGAGTGTAGCAGTACTACCTTTCAGTAGTTAATTGAAAATCTTGTTTTGCTGATTTCAGATACAGCCCAGATGTTGTGTTTTTACAAGAGGTCATCCCACCATATCTTTGTCTTCTACAGGTGAATGCAGGCAATTACACTATTGTTCCAGGTAAGAAAACCTTCTCTGTTTCTAAAGACAGAAACCAGAAAAGTAAGTTTGGTTTTATTCTGTGCCCCTTGCCAAAGCCTCTAACCATTTGTAGTAATGTAAAGTGAAGAAGGAAGCGCTTAAATGATTTTCTGTGTTTGATATCAGCATATAGCTGATAATTATGCATGTGAAAAGGTTACTTGACTGATGGTTTCCTTCGTGTTTTTTTTCTGCTGTCAGTCTTTTGAAAGACTGATAGCAAGGGTAGCCAAAAAGTAACATAGTTAAGTAATTTCTTTTAATATCTGCATTTCAAAAAATCTGAAACATTCAGACTGCTATTATGCAACTTTTCAGTAATGACTTTTTACGTCTTGAAAATTAACATGATTCTCACAGGTCATGGTAAAAAGCTCTCTTTCAGAACCTTAACTTCTGTATGGCACAGCAGAAGATATCCTCGAACATTTCTTTCCCTGGTCCTCTTTAGGTAATGTAGATGACTATTTCACTGTCATAATGTTAAAGAAATCAAGAGTGAAGCTACTGAAGCATGAGATAGTACCTTTTCCAACAACTGCCATGAAGAGGAACCTTTTGGTTGTGCATGTGAGTGAGTCAGTGTGTACTAAACAGCTATATTTCTGCATTCAAAACAAAAAATCCCAGGAAAGTCTGAAGTGGCTTTCTCTATGACAGTCTCAAATAGAAGAAAAGCTACATACAAACATACACACCCAATTGCATTTGTTACTAATAAATTTAAATCTTCTATGCAAGTTACTGACTATACTTTGTTTTCTAGTCTCATAACCTCTGAAAACAAAACTAAAGGCTTGTTATCCCCCTGTAAGCCACTTTTCTCCCTGTAAAACCAGTATTAACCAGAGCTCTGTCATTCAGTGATTTGCATTGTGATTAGGCTTTGTCTTTGAACTTCTTGTTGTGGTGTGGAAAGTAACATTGCCTCTTTTTTTCATGCATAGGTGAGCATATCTGGTAATGAGCTTTGCCTTATGACCTCTCATCTGGAGAGCACTAAAAATCACTCCAAGGAACGTATAAAGCAGCTGCAAATAGTGTTCAACAAAATGCAGGAGTGTGAGTCCACCACTGTAATATTTGGAGGGGACACAAACCTCAGAGACAGTGAGGTAAGTAGAAATAAGGAACCTTGTTATTTAGAGAAGGTATTCTGACAGCATCTTCTCAGGCTTTTCTGTTGTCTTTATGAGAAGTGACCTGCTTAAGCAGAACAGAGATAAGCAACATTTATTCTTTTAAAGTGGAAGTGTGACTAAGTAGAAGTAAGTATTGCTATGTGCTGTGCTGGCACATTGTTATAGCTGAAATGATGTATATGAAGAAACCCCAATACAGAAATGCTTTATTGACAATATTTATATCCGAGAAGATGCAGGAATAGCTGATGAAGTTTCAACTTCAAAGACATCTCGTTTTGAGAACCTGATCTTTACTTGCTCTGCTCTCCGATTCTGAGAGTTAATGCTTGTAGAATCAATGAAAGAAGAAAGTGTTCTGGAGAAATAGATTTTGGGAGTTTAATCCTCCATAATCAAAACATTCAAAAGTAGAAGTAATTTTTGGCTTTTGATATTAAAAATGAGATTTTTACATCATTACTAGAAGGTCAGGGTTTCGTGTCTCCCTGTCATGAAATTCCACTGCAGTGAACTGGAACAACATTGGTTCAGACAACATGGTGTTGACCCCCATACCTCAGCATTTCAGATTATTTTGTAACATGGATTTAGAAATTTTTAATTATTTAATTTAAATTATGGATTTAGAAAGTGCTACAGGATTTGATCATTCTTTAGAGCATCTTGTGGAAAACCACAGTTTAGAAACATCTCCAAGATCTTTGTTTTTTAACAACTTATATTTTGCAGAAATAAGCAATGCAGTGACAACAAGAGTTCTTTTTTTTAAGGTAAAATTTGTGAATTTAGTATCTTGTGGATGTTTTTTCTTTCACCCCTTCTACCTTCAGGTTGCTAAACTTGGTGACTTACCTAACAACATTACAGACATGTGGGAGTTTTTGGGTAAACCTCAACACTGCCGCTATACGTGGGACACGCACTCCAATACCAACCTGAATGCAGCCTACAAGTGCAAGATGAGATTTGACCGTGTGTACTTCCGGCCTGCAGTGGAAGGAGGGAATATAATTCCACGAAGTATGGACTTAATTGGTTTGGAAAAACTAGATTGTGGCAGATTCCCTAGTGATCACTGGGGTGTTCTGTGTAATTTTGATGTGATACTGTAGAAAAGAAGAAAGACTTGCTAGTTTTTTTATGTGACTTGTTCTTAGAAAATTTTACCCTCTCAGTTTAAGTAGGGCATATTTAAATTTTCAACCTTAACGTGCTCTCTGCTCTTGACTTCTGCAGAAGCCACTTCATTTCAAGCCAGGGTTTCCTTTTCCTCATTGTATGCATCTGTTCTCAAGTCACATTTTAAAATATTTATTTTTAGCAACATCTGCAAATACTAAAACAAATTCTAGTTTTAAAGTCGGAGGAAAAAACTAAATACAGTTCATAAACGTACTCGGTGGTTTAAAAGATGCTTTTATTTTGGCATGTATTATGATCTTGTAATAAAAGCTGCTTTTTTATTTTAAGACTGCTTTTATTGTGCCTGCTTTGTTTATTTTGTAATCATTTCCATCATCCTTTACAACCATGTCTTTTGTAAGGTGTTTTGTATTAACTTCTGAAGTTTGTGTTGCATGTACATATCCCTTGAGGCAAGACAATAAAGGAGCCAAGGAAAGAATGACTAGATTCTCACAGAAGTAGGAATTAAACTACTATTTAACAGTTTTAAGAACGATATGACTTCTGTTTGACAAGAAAAGGACATAGGCAGATGTATGGAAGTTGTTCACTTGGGATGGTGTATACCTTAATTTGTGTTAATTAACCTTGATATGAATTGCAGATTAAAACGTGTTGGTTTTCAGTGAGCTTCTGGAAGCTCTTGTAAACTGCTGTGCAAAGCCTGAGCAGCTCAAGGTCTCGCTGACTTTGCAAAAGATCAAACAGACTTTCTTACTTGAAGAACTGTGTAATCAGTCTCGTAAGAGGCTGTTGTTTTACAGATGTACAAAGCACTAACCTGATTTTAAAAGTAAAGCCTCCCAACTCCTGATATGAAGTTCAATGTAAGGGCCTGGAGAGGAAGGACAAACAACACTTGTCAGTGATGTGAAGTGAGCAGAGTCTGAAACTCTAAGTTCTTTTACTTCTTTTTGTTCTTGTCTTTGGTCTTGAGCCCAAAGCTGAGAAACAACTTATGTTTTTCTGGTCTACTGTGGTGGGTTGGTCCTGGCTGGTAGCCAAGCTGCCACCCAGCAGCTGTCTCAGACCCCTTCCCCAGTGAGGTGGGAGGAGGAAATGGGGAAAAAAACAAGAAAGCTTGTGGGTAAAGATAAAGACAGGTAGCTCACTTATCAATTATCCTCATGGGCAAAATAGATGTGGGAAAACTTGATTTGTTTCTGAAACACAGAAAGTGCCACTGGAACATGAGGAAGAAGGTCTTTATTGTGCAGGTGACTGTGCTCTGGAACAAGCTGCCGAGGGAGGTTGTGGAGTCTTCCTCACTGGGGATATTCAAAAACCATCTGCACACAGTCCTCAGTAACATGCTACAGTGGACCATGCTTGAGCAAGGAGACTGGGCTAGATGACTGCCAGTGTTCACTTCCAACCTTACCCAATCTGACATTCTGTGAAAATAATTTCTGGCCAAATAAAAAAAAAAA